ATCTCCACCCCCCATAACCCCCCAGCCCCGAGAGGGGCGGGGAGAACCTTGGGAATTTGAAGTGCACACTTCTTCAAGTTGCCAAGGTTGAGAAACACCGATATAGATATTCAAGCCTGAACTGGGATTTCAACCTACAGGCCTTTGCATCGGATGGCCACCTTACAGTGCATTTAGCTTTAAAGCGATCTTGGTCTGACAAAAATAGGGCTCAGCAGACACTGGAGGGAATGGCAAAACAGAGGCAGAGGGATGAAGACACAGTTACAGATCTATAACTTCGAACTTGGAGCTACAGAAGGACCTAATCAAAGGCAAACCAGAAATGGTATGATTTTGCTGGTGGGAATGACAAGACTGAAACCAACATGATTAGTCTTGGTAGAAGTACACAGTTATGCTCATTGGTGTTCATCAAATCAGATGCAGGAAATGTTGCTGATCAACCCCAAACCAGTCAGAGATCTGAATATATTTCTTCTGCCTGCCTTTATTCTATCCAGTACTTTTTTCATTGACATTAAAGTCTCTAGCACTCATTTTCTGGTGCCCTCCATAAAGGTTTTGCAAGTCCTATTGTCCCCAGCCCAGAGAGAAATGCTAGCCTGACCATAAATATTGAAACAGCCTTTTAGGGCAGCCTTCCCCAATCTTGTGCCCTCAAGATATTCTGGGAATTCTGGAAGTTGTAGGCCTGATGCACGTGGACAGCACCACATTCAGGAAGGCCATGAGGGCTGGAATCCTGGTTTAAGATATAAAATCAAAGAAGCCTAATACAGAATCCTGCTGTGTACCTCACATGTCATAACTATACTCTCCTTCATTCACCACAAGTTCATGAAACTTTATAAGATATTAATGTTTTATATGCCAAAAGGCCTATAAACAAATTGTTTCTCATGGTTCTTCCTCTCCACAGTGGTGGTTTAGCTTTTATTAAAACCATTAAAAGTCTATTTTTTGATAACCAATCAGGGGTTGATTTAAGCACCATATCCTTTACCTCTGCCATCTTGTGGTGTTCTGTAGGCGTAGCATGATCTTTTGGGTAGGATAAGAGCAATGACCTCTATGTTTCTTTCAAAGGACAGTGGAATGTTAGCGTGCAAAGTAGTCTATGATCTTTATATCTGATTTGTTTTCTCTGAAATTCTCTAAGTGAACTCACTCTTGTTCCTATTTAAACTCCATGTCATCTTTATTTGCTAAAGGTCAAAGTGATCTAGCTCAGTTTTCCCAATCTGTTGCCCTCTATTTGTGTTGGGACTGCAACTTCTAGACTTCTCAGCCAGCACAGCCAAACGCTTTACTTTGGAGCAGGAAAGCTCAGAAGATGCCTCCATGGGCACCACCACTATAAAACACTGAACTGTATACATACAAGCACAGCCATGGTTTCTGTACTCCAAGTTTTATTGACTTAGCCACAGCTGGCTGGGTGGAATGGAGCTAGTGGAATGGAGTAGATAAGGCAAGGAGAAAGGAGACTGAAGTTCTAGTTCATCCTCAGCCACAGAAGCCAGCTGATGACGTTGGTCCAGTCACTCCCTCTCAGCTCTAATCAGCATCAGGGTCTGCAACAAGCTGTCTGAAAAACAAAACCCTTTTCACATCATGTACTGACACGCTTTGCTGAATTAGATGAGCACAACACAGAACAGGCTGACCCCGCAGCTCAGGGGGACACACACTAACAGCAACTGCAACCCTTACTAGCTTCACAGAGTTGCTGTTATGGGGAAAATAGGAGGGAGTGCTAGGCATGCAGTATACATACATAGTATAGTATAAAACCTGGAGTACAGAAACCATGGCTGTGCTTGTATGTATACATGAGCTCCTGCAGGAAAGGTGGGATATACATTTTTTAAAAGAAACAAATAAATAAACCCTGGTTTCCAAATCTCAATGGCTGGGTTCATGCAATGCACTAAACTAAAACCACTTTGTGGCTTGGTGGTAAAGCTGATCAATCTTTGAATGTTAAAGTTGAAAATACAGAATAGAAAACCTTGTAGCTTGCTGGGTAATGTTGGGCCCATCATTATGGCTTGTTTTAGCTTCACCTATTCACATGGTTGTTGTAGGGATAAAATTGGGGGACCCCTTGGGGGACCCTGCCTTGAACTCTGAGAAGAGAAAAGACGGGATGTAAATGCAATAAATACATATCTATGAGAATGTGGATTGTAGTGCTTCATCCTGTAGCTGGGAAATCACATTTATGAATATCCCCTCTGTAAATGAAACAAACTACTCTGTAATTAGAAAATCAGCATAGCAGAGAGAGATTTAGAAAGTCTTTGTAACTTGTGGAGGTTTTGTTTCCGGTTAATTCTATCAGCCTTAATATGTAAACTAAGCATTGCTTCTAAAATACTAACTAAATTAAACACCATCTGGTTCAGACTCTCGCTTAGCAGGAATGATCTGAGTTCTCTGGGATGTTCACTTGATCCTGCACAGGTTGGATAACAGCTTTTAGAAGTAACTTTCTTGCTCTTTCTGCAGAGGCCTCTTGTCTGGTCTCTGACTGGAGTGAATGGAGTGGATGTGCTGAACGCTGCAAGGCGACCTACCGCATCCGAAGGAGACGCGTGATCCAGGAGCCTAGGAATGGTGGTGAAGCTTGCCCTCCTCTTGAAGAGAAGGCTGGCTGTATGGAGTATGGGACTCAGCAAGGAACGTTGTGCAAGTACTCCTTTAGTAAGTGGTGGTGGGGGGCAGTTCAAAACCTCATTTAAGTACATTTAAGACTGCAATGACAGTGGAAATCTTTTTGGAATATTTATTGTGGCCATTATTTTTATATTGCATAATAATAAATGTCAGTTTGAAAGATGGGTGTGATTCCCCTAAGCACAGAGATAGTTTCAAATAACAGCTGGATATGGCCCATCTGGGTGATGGAATAAGGAAGAGGAGACAGGCAGCTTTTAGCTTCTTATCTGACATGGACTCAGTCAGTGCCATAGTGCCCCCACCCTCTAATTGCTTTAATTGGAACTTCTCCACCATGATGTTATTGCAACGCTTTCCCAGGTGCATAAAACAAAAAGCAGTATTAAATATAATTTAGCTCTCAATTTAGCCCTTTGCTCCTAGCAAGAGGCAACTGCCTTTAGGGTTAGCCCTTCAAGAGCCAGCCTGCCACATCTAGGCTAGATAGCATAACTACTTGTCAAAGGCCTCTATGACCAGGGAGAAAGAATTTCCAGGTAGATGGGGCCCTTCCTACCAGGCCTAGGAGCAACGTAGGTCACTGTTGATGGTAGAACTGGAGCAAGTGTTGCTGTTGATATAGTAAAGTTGCTGCTCTACTCTAAATACCTTAAAGGCTGTTCACGCAAGAGAGAACAGACCTGTGCAGGAACAAGAATAGGGCAAGGACAAATGAAAAGCATTACAAGAAATGCGATACTGGCTGAATATTAGAAATAATTTATTAATGGTAAGAGCTGTTAAGCAATGGAATAATCTGTCTAGAACAGTAGTGGTTTCTCCACACTGGAAGTTTTCAAACAGGTTAAATGACCACCTGCTGGAGATGATTCAGTGGATTCTGGTGTTGAACAGAGGGTTGGACTAAGTTCACTATGAGAACATTCCAGCTCATACATACTATTGTTTCTACGATTTGTTCTAGCATTTTAGAACATGTGCTGAGAAAGCTATGGCTGTTATTGACATGAATCAATTAAATTAGCCAAAGTAGGAATGGTATTGCACTTTTATGCCTGTTTGGTTGTAATCATAATGAAACATCATTTCCATTTGCATTTGAACTTCATCCTATTTATTTTATCACTTCAGTTCTTTGGTGAACCAAGGAACAGGTTGGATTTTAGAGTCCTCAACACCTGTGGAATCCACTGGGACCCATAAAACTTTGGGGGGTAGACCAGTTTAGCAGATCCACAGTCCTTGTGGAGGAGAAGGCCACTGCCTGTCTAATTTCTCCAGGAAATGATTTATGCTAATAAGATTATAGATCCATACTCCATTTTCAAACTTTGGTCTAAAATCAAGATCAAGAGCATTTTCTGCAAGATAGTTGGGCCAATGGCATACGGTTAGGGCAGAATGCCTCTTTAGAAGTTGATGGCTACAAACATCCCACCTTTGTCTTTGCAGCCCTGGGCTGTTGGGAATTGTAGTTCAGCAACAACTGGAGGACCACAGGTTCCTCATATCAGGCGTATGGAAATACTTGCATGGTATCATGGCAGCTATGAAACCCTGAATTGGCTTCTAAAATTTCAGTGGATCCTGAGATCCTCTAAGAAATTAGGCAGAAAACAGATAGGCAGTTATAGCTCTATACCAGTAAAATCCATAACCTGACTCTCTGGCTTAGGAACAAGGATAAATAGGTCTCCTACCGAAGAATTTGGTACAAGTGAAAGCAGTGCTGTTCCCTTAGCTGATCTCAATATGTTTGGCTATATGAGAAACAATAAGAATTGTTTCTTTTCTAGTCTGTGTTAAAAAGGTTAATTAGTTAAGCCAAACTAATATTTTTTTTCCTAAAAAACAAAACATGTGGCTGAGACCAAAATAAAATCTGTGGGTTGGGGATCAATTCAAATGGTTTATATTTTATTTGGGTTATATTTCTGTCTACCAAATCTGTGGGGGATTATTAAAATAGCTTCCTTCCTTTATCCCAGTTACTAGAATGATAATAAGCAGGCCTGTTCTGACAAGAAAGAAATGTGGTGAAGAATTTCCAATTCTGCAGATGATGAATAATTACTGGTGGTCTGCAATTATGGGAGAAAACTCTCTTTGGTTTCCCACTTGAGAACAATGACAAGGCATTAAAGTCCATGACTATCCCAGTCTTTATTGTTCTGCTGATGTAAATGAGTTTTAGGGTGCAGTTTTCACTGACTGTGGCTGTTGTGCTTTTTCCCCCTTTGATGTAATCAGTCCCAGCATTAATAACTACTGGAGGCTATGGGAAAGCAAGAAGAAAGCGTGCTGTGTCCAGAGGGAGGGAAAGAGTTGGGTAAGTTCTATACTTCAGCATTAGAAATTTATTAACAGTCCTATTGTTTTGCCTCTTTTAGTCACGCTGTCCTGCATGGTGAATGATAGTAGTCAAGAATCTCAACACTGGGAGAGACTTTAGAGTCTTATATGCATTTCCCTAATCCTAAACCCACCTCCAGCAGATCTTGCCTTCTCATTCCCCCCACTTTTAAAACAGTACTAAAATTAAAAGTGCATTTGGTTTTTAAGTAGATATTGGCTGGATTCACACAGTGTGTTAAATCTAGTTTAACAAAATGCAATTGCTGTGTTCACATGAGATGCTGCGAACAAACAAATCAGCCATATTACGGCTCAATGTGATGGCCTGGCTGATAGAGCAAGTAAAGATAATGGATGGTTTTCCCACAACATGCAGAACCACAAACAACAGAACCCTATTTTATCTTAGTCTAGGTTGTTATGGGAATCCAGCCATTGAATTGCCAGTTGCATCATTTTTAAAGTCAGAGAATTTATGAGATCAGGGCAATGTACTGTATGGTTCCCAGTACCTGGGTAAAGGTTGTTGCCAATTGAATGTGACAAAAGAAATCATTATATACATGGTGAGTAATCATATGCATTGCACTGAAGTATTTTAATATAATTTTAAGTCATTATTAAAATTTAAATTAAAATTGATGTATCCCTGCTCATTATATGGGTATGCTACTCAGAAAGGTTGTAGATCCCTGGTGTAAGGGGCAATGGGAAAGAAGACTTTAAAGATAGGACACTGCCAGTAAGAATCAGTTTATTGTCTAATACAGTGTTTCTCAACCTTGGCAACTTTAAGATGTGTGGAGTTCAACTCTTAGAATTCCTTTCTGGCTGGGGAATTCTGGGAGTTGAAGTTGCAGCTTTGCCAATTGTGTGAATTAGGCCTAAGATTCCAGTTCTTTGTACACTTTTCTTGCACTGAATTTCCATTGAATACAGTGGAACTTACTGAGGAAAAGAAGAAGAGTCTCGGGGATCAAATCAAAGATCTGACCTCTTTAGTCTTTCATTCTTTTCTCACAATGGCAACCAGTTACTACTAGGGAGTAATAGTAGACTCTCCTGCTCATGTTCATCAGCAACTGGAATAGCATAAAGCTAAAGATGTCATTTTTTCCTGGTGACTATGCAGTAGAGTATTTCCATGCAGTTTTCTTGATAACACTACAAAACTGCTTTGCCAGTATCTTCTTTCGGGATATTTTTTTCCCACTTCCCAGTCTACTGTTCAGCTCTACAATTCCCTGGTGCTATCTCCTCCAGGTATTAACTTGGCTGATCTTGCTTAACTCCCAAGCCCAGACAAGATTGGCCAGGTGAGATGGAGAGGCATTCTGGCTTCCAAGTCCACAAGCTGCTTGTCACATCTTCGGTCTCTTCTGTGACAGGTATTGTGTTGAGTTCCAGCTCATAGACATCACAGAAGGCTGCCTGCACGGGAACAGTTCCTACACTCACTGGATGAAGTATCTCAGTGAAGGACACACAGTGTGTGTGGAGTGCCAACATCCAGCCTTGGATCAGAAGAGTCTACACTGCTCTGGGGATGGGAGCGGAGCCACGAAGTAAGAGCAGTGGTTGTCTTTTGCTTAGTGAGGAAATGTGTACTGGATCATTTTAAGTCCATGTCACTCAGATTTTACACCACAAGAATGAAATACTACATACATATAAGAGTGAGATTGAAAAGTCCTGGGGTAACCATTAGAGGGATTGTTATTGCACATATCCAGTGACTCCATGCTGGAACTCCTGAAAATGCAATCACAGAAATGATAGGATTTGTTTAGTCTACCCATACTATAATGTGGGCTTGTTCACACATGCAAGGGCAAAACTTGTTTAACCTACATTTGATGACAGGTTCCTTGGTCTTGATTCCGATAAAGCAGTGTATCTGAGATGGCGTGAGAGGACTCTGTGGACATGATGAGCAATTCATATAATCAGGTCTTGCTGCAGCAGCAGGGGCATCGGTTGGGGAGGTCAAAAAGTCAAGATGGGTGCAACCATGCAATCAAAGCTTCATTCCTTTTTAACATACATTGCATGCTTGACACATGTAAAAAACAGATGAGGCTTTGATTGTGGCCACCATTTCGATTTTTTTTACCTCCCCCCTGCCCCATGGATACTCCTGTGTGGCGGCTATTAATAACATGT